CGCACTACTGGTATAAAGCAAAAAGACCAGGACTCTCTCTATCATATCCTGGTGACAGGCAGACCAACACTTGTTTATCCCGGCTGGCAAGTGGACACCTGAAAAGTCTCACATTTTCTGCTAATCAAAAGACCTTTCTTCTTTGCCCTAAAAGCCAACAAAACCAGGCATCACCTGAGCACATCTTGAACTGTTTAGGGCAGGACTGGAACGACATTCATTCCTCTCCCATTTTGGTTTCGGATTTTCTAAATGTCAACGGATTTATTGATCTGGTCTGGCCCGTCAGACCAGATGGGAATTAGCAACAACAGCAACAAAAACATTAGTAAGGCATGCTGGTGAAAATAAAAACACAGTCTGGAATATGATCAACTCCAAAAAGTTGCAAAATTATCATCAGCTTATTCTATTTGATCTTGTTGTGCCAATTTTTTATTAATGCTTATTTTAGCCTGATTTTTAGGACTCCTGCAACTCTTTGTCATTTTTGTGCTAAATTTGATCTAGTTAATGAAGTTTATCTAGTTGAAAAGTGTGCATTCATAAAAAAAACCCAAAACATCGATTATTTTTACAATGAGTAATAAGAAATCATAGTCATATCTATTAGTATAACGTGTTAGCATGTTGCAGGTTTTAAAAATTATAATGATTTCTGATTGCAATGTTAGTTTTTTTTCTCAACAAAACGGAAAAGGTTAAATGCAGAATTGATCAAGAAACAAACAAAATGAATCATTTTCGATTCATCTTAAATGATAATACGGTTGCATCAAGTTTATGATCTACGATTATATGAACAATTTGCTAACAAATTGCTAAACCAAATGCCAATATTACACTACTTATTGAATTTTCAGAGTTTAAAAATAAGATGGGTTCTTTCTTTCTTGATAGTTTGCCTTAAAAGTTCATCTAAGGATTGCATTGTTCTAAGAGGTTCAGGAATTTGAAATGTTTTTAAGATTTTTAAATATTGGTGTTTAAAGCTAAACTCCCATTATAATGACGATTTGAGCATGTTTCGACGGGATTCGATGAGGGTGTCATTAAGCCCCAAATGCAGCAATTGAAATTATGGAATGGTGTGCACCTCTGATGTGCACCTTAAAGATGTATACAATAAATCTAATGTTTCAGTCAGAATTTATCATCAACCACTCACTTCTCACTGACAGCAATACTTTCAATGTCTGCCTGTTTTTACTGACGGATCATACGCAGCTGAATACGTAAGCTGTAGTATCAACATCGCTGATGATACTTATAGTTGCAAAATACCAGATATTTGCTTCTGTCTCCTCTACTGAGGCTGTTGTTGTCTTACTGGCATTGTGGTTTATTTCCAAAGGCTCACTGAGGAAGTATTGCACATACTCTGAGTGTTTGAGCGTTTTATGGCGGTTGGAAAACTTTCATAATGACACTCATTCTAAGATAATTTTTATTCATCATTCACTTATAACTCTTAATAAGAATGCATTTGCCATTTTATTTTGTTGGAGTCCTAATCACGTTGGTGCATTGGGTAATGGCTTAGCTGAATCTGCTGCACGAACCATCACTACTCCAATAACGCTGTCTGTACCATTCACTGACATTGAAATTACATCTTCAACATATAATAACATCCTCTTCGTAATAACAATGGGATCTTCAAATGCTTAATAAACTTCAATTGAATTTGAACTGAGGAAAAGGATCATACCAGTGAAACCAAACACCAAGAACAGCAAAGCGTCTTTTCCCCCTGCAATGTCAATAAATGTGTTTTTGTCAAATAAATACATTCCCAAGGCACTTCACTCACCTGACTGGAGAACTTTTGAGTTTTTCCTCTTCACGATATTGAAAACTCACAGAAAAGAAAATTATTTTGGGAGACAGTTAAGAGGTTGTAACCGTCTAGATAAAAGGAATTCAAGTATCCGAGTTCTAGCACTGCTATTAAGAGAGGAAGAAGCGTCACTGACGAGGAAAAGTTTCCCAATGAAATCATTTTAAGGTACAAAACATTAAATTGCACAAATATTCAAGTAATAAAGAATTCAAAATCAGTCTCATTACTTAATTTTCTCACCTTGTATCAGCTGTCTAAAAACATAGATGCGAAATTAGTGTCACTGGAAGATTTTGAGGTGATTCGAGTTCTCATTCGTATATAATCTAGAAGGTGAATAAAAAGTCTTTACACACTAGTCGCCTCAAGTAGAATGTTTTTTTTAACTAACCAATAAAGATAAAATCAATTTATATGCATTTAGAACATTTAGAACAGATTTTATAGCCATAAAGATTTTACAGCCATATAATTAGCATAAATTTCAGTTGCTATAAACTAGTTTCGTTTTCGCCTCACTAATGATTGAAGATTGAATGTGTAGTATAGTGCAGTGATTGTGCTTTGAGTGATTGAAGATTGGTTCTGTAGCATATTTAAATCTTTTTATTAAACTAGGCTGTAAGCCTAATGTTTTTTTTAAGGTTTCTAAAATATTCCATAAGATTTGTTTATGAATTGCAATTATTTTCAAAACCTCAATGAAAACTTACACCGAGACTCATTTTCGAGTGCCCAGCACTCACACCAGATGTTTTGAAATTGGGAATTGTGCCGTTTGAGGACAACCTAAGATCTGTTCTCTATAGGCACCAAGAGGCACCGAAGCTGGCAGCCGCAATTGTAAAGATTTTCTATGTTCTCTGAAAATCCATTGACACAAAAGCAACAATAATAACACAGTGAAATTGAGAAAAACTAAAACATTGGGAATTCAAATTAGCAATTGACTAACTTATTTTCCCAAAAATGACGCTCAGAATATCTTCTTTGAGTTTGACACATTTTTAAAAATAGTTCTGCATTTAGCTTTTACATTTTTTTAAATAAAACTAATTGCTTCGAGTGTACACAGTTCTATGAACTTTTATACTGAAAAATATTTTGCCGTCTTCTTTCTATGACACATAGCGTTTACATTAATTTTCGTGTATTCATATCTCATTCTAAGATATTTAAGGCATAGAATTATGCATGAAAAAATTTTTTGAATTTCCAGAGTCACATACGGGACACATCATTCTATCACCCTTCGTTTATTACTAAAACTCATCGCAATATACTTATTATTTGTCTAAATTAGAGGGCCTCCAACGCTTGTACTGTGATCTACTAGTGGTCCACTCATTATAATATCATATTATGTCATGATAATAACATATTATGTTTCTATCAAGCTGTGTTATCTCACTCCTTTTAATGCAATAGTATTATAAAAAATGAAAAGCATTGCAAAGTGCTGGTTATTTCAGATCATACTCTTATCATCTGAAGTAATCGGAGTATTACAATGTTAGTGCGAAAGTATCAAAATGCATGACAGATACTTTTAAAAAGATTTAACCAAGCCTATATAAATAGTAGTGAGTTTTGCCGTCGTGATTATGAATCGGTCTATGACTGCTGCAGTGTTTTGACCTGCGAGCTTCAAGCGAATTAGTTAACTGCCCGTCTGAAGTTTTGAATCCTCTGTTGTAGTTGCTGTAAATAGCTCCATTCTGCGAAACTTTCTGCTTTTAAAATTTTGAAGTCTTAAGGTGTGTTTTATTCTGACTGCCGGTTTTTATTTGGTCTAATAAATTTACCATGCTTCTGGATTTAAGCTTTGTAAATATTACCGAAGCTCTTAAATAATAATTGAGGTAAAATAAAAAATAAAAAATAGAATTATAATGAATCATAAAATTTGGTAAGTGTCGCAAAATTTGGCAGTTTTTATCATGCTACCTTAGAACATGGCATAAAAACACATTTATTCTGCTAAATTTACTTTTCAGTTTATTACTTTTTATTAAAGGTAAGGTAAGGAGAATTATAATTTTGAGTACCAGAATTTTCGGTAAACCGTTATTGTATGAACACGAAAAAATACCAAATGGATTGTTTTAAATACCGTATATTTTGGGTTATAATGTTAGTTTTTTGTATCAGAAATGTCATTGGTATACAGAGCGGTAATTTTACTACAATTTTTTTCACCGTTTGTTAAAAAGACCTAGAATGTAACATTATTTGATCCAATAAAAAAGGTGTTCAGACATTTGACTAATTAAGAAAAACTGCAATAAAATTTTTAAGTAATATTTTTTGACAGTGAAATCTTAATTCCATAAATACTTTTTCAATAGTTCAATAAGTTTTAAATGAAAATATATGTTAAGGATGCTGATCAATACTGATATTTATCATTAATAATATTCTTTGATTATTTAAATAACGGGAAAGTAAGTTAAAAAGCACATTTCTGTTACAAATATGATCGAGATGCTTTTTATTTTTATTAAGACTAAAGCAAATCTTTTTCTAAATATCATTTTAATATTTAATTGATAAAGTAAATTTAAAAAAATATATCTTGGTGATAACCAGCATTAATCTTAGAAATGGTGATAAACAGCATTCGTTATTTAAGGAATTTCATTTTTTTCTTCTACTTTGAATTATTATATTAGTATTCTTTTTCAATTCTCTTCATCTTAGAATCACATGAGTGTATTACATTATTTAGGCTTTAATAGTGATTGATTAGCATCTAATTAAATTTAAAATACAGCTTTTTCTTTTATAAAAAATAATATTGCAATATCTAATAAATTCAGTAAATTTTACAGCAAACTTATATTACTGGTTGTACGATCCTTCATTAGAACCATTTTATTCGTATTTTAGAAGAAGTTAACTAAAAAAAGATTGGATTTTTACTTTTGACTTCAGGAAATTTTAATAGAAATTGAGTTGCCTTTGATTAATTCTACAGTAAAGTTTTTTTGTAGCACTAACGTTTTAGAAGATAAGTAATTTCCTTTTACCCTTTATCAAAGTGCTTACTTTTTATCCAGTAAGCTAAGCCTCATTTTAATTTACTTAATAGCACCAACCACTTGATGAAATTCAGCGAATTCTTCAATAGGTAAAAAAGAGCAACAAAAATTCAAACTATTCATCGAGGGAATAGCACGGTTTTATGCATTTTATACATCACTACCCTGCTTCTTTTGCAACAAAAGAACACTCTAGCAATTAGAACAAATTTACGATTTAGCCCGTGCACTGAGAAAAGAAAACACGGTAAAAATTTGCCACTTTTCCCTCGGGTAATTAAGCCTATTGTCGGGAATGGAGGGTAGAAGGGTGGTAGACGGGCAGTAGGGTAGAAAGAAAAATGCGCGTTGTTTCTGCGCACACAGAGATGGCTAGAGCGAGGGAACTCTGGTATCGGTTCAGTCAGCAGTAAGCTGCCACGTTAGACCCAACATGTCACAAGGGTTCCATTCGCCAGAAGGGACTATTTACCTCCGCCGTTCGGATTACACGCACGGAGCGGATCACCCCTTTCTGTATACCCCTCTACATGCAACTGGTGATCGCTTGCATTTATCTACTCTTAGACCATATTGAAGGGCGTATATGTCCTTGCTTTTTTAGACTGTTGAATGACTACTCCATATTTCAAAAAACAATAATGAAAAGAAAACGATTTTATTTTAGAATTATTTTCGTCTGATTTATTATTGCAAACGATCAATTTTAATTATTACAAACAGTCTTTCTTTGATTAATGAAAAACAAATGATTTTTCTGACTATTGCACGAAACTCAGTAAATGATTATTAACTTTTACTTCGACTGCTTTAAGAAGTTCTTCAAAAGAAATTCTACTGCGTAACTGAAGTTGGCTATTACGATCATAAGAGAATCCATTTAGGCGTTCATAAGGTTTCAATGCTGAAAAAACTCTTCATAGTAGGGCCATAAAAATGCTCGCACTTAAATGGGTTTCATTGCGAGTGTTTTATTCTTCAGCAAGGAAATCTAAAGTTTGAATTTGGAAGAATCAGAAAGCAAATGGTGGTGCTAAGCCAAAACTTTTATCCTAAAACCTAAATATAGGAAATGTAGTAAAGATTTGTGGCGATTTTCATAAAATGAAGATGATGTGAAATCTTTTAAGATGGCATTACAAAGAGCAATAATGAACTAGTCAAGTCGTATGTGATTGAATAATTCTTTCAGCAATAATTTTTATCGTGTGCTTTGGTGCTCTTTGAATTAGTTGAACTTCTTGTTTATTGTTGAAGAAGAATTACGGCAAAAGCGAAAAAGGAATATTGAGGAATTGAATTTACTGTGATCAATTTTAAAGTGTATGTACTAACTTGTAAGTAACAGAACTTTCCAATTTTTTCTATTAGATTTATATATAAGAGTATAAAAGAAATATCATGATTAGATATTTGAGAACTGTAAAATATATTAATCATTATTATCAAAAGAACAGCGTCAGCATTTATTAAATAGAACACTTCCATAAGAAAATTGTATCTATAAACAGCAATAATTTTCTAACATTTAGTTATAGTACATGACGAAAAGAATTATAAATGAAGCTAAACTATAGTATTAAAGGTTCTCCCTCTGCAACGAATGCGCCAATTTCTCAATTTATTTAAAACTATTTTGTTTAAAAGAATGCGTAATATGTGTTCTTTAAAAAGTATTTCGTATAGAATGAATTGCAAGAATATTAAAAATATTTTCATCTTTTAAGAACTGACAATTAAAAATTTTTATTGTCTTAAAGCAGACGATAAAGGAAAATTCGTATAATTTGGACTATCTTTGTTGGATATAAAATAAATAACATTTGCAGAAAGAGTAATATAGCCGTAAATGACATGGAACTGAAAACTTACTAATCGATTAAAAGTACCTGTTGAACTATCATCGCAACATCTTTCGTCACTGATTGAGCTGAAGAGAAAAGGGAGATCACTCAGCAGACGATGTCAACGCGCATAAACGTTGAAAACAAAACGATTAATTGATGATAAACAATCCGATTAAAAGCAGGCGATAAAGAGTAATTGATTTTTCTTTTTCATCGTCGTTGATCAGAATACTGGCATCTTAATTAAATTTGCGAACGAAAAGAGCGCTGTTGGAAAACTACAGATTTAGTTAACCTTTAAGAGAACGATTAAAAAAGGAGGAGAGATCCGGTCGATTGAAGATGCCGCGCTCTTTTCTAGTGAAGAAGGTGAAGCACCCTGTTGATCATAGCAACCGGTGGCCTTACCATGAAGCCCCAGCCAGCCCCTCTGAAGCAGCTACACCACCTCAAGGATTCACAATACATTACAACAATGGTATGTGCAGATTTTTTATCATTCATTTTTATTTGAAAATGATGAATTTCTTCATTTTTTTTATTTAGAATGAATTTAGGTAGAACTATTATTGACATTTAAAATCAAAACCTACGAGAAGAAAAGGCAATATCTGGAAAGTATAATAAAAAAAATATAGCAATCATGAAAAAGTCAATTATTACAAACTATTAAATGTAATAATTATACATTTCAGAAATAATAAATGCAGTTTTTTTTTCAGTCATTTTTATTCAAAAAAAGCATTTCTATAGCTTGGTCTTTGAAAAATAAAATTTGAAATAAGAACATATGTAAAAAATAAAAACCCGGAAAGCATAATTAAAGTAAAATGTATGCTAGTTATGAAGAATTTGTTTATTGCAAATTATTAATCATCAAAGCTATTTTTTGCATGCATTTTTTAAAATTATACATTTAAATTAAAATAAATATTTTGCGCAAATATTTTTTTACTACGATGTAAAAATTTAATTCATTATATGGTATGAAAATTTTAACTCTTATTCGGATACAATAAATTTAAAAGGAAAAATGGCTTTACATTATAACCTTCGATTCATTATGAATTTGCATTATTTTAAGTAAACCAATCAAGAATTTAAGTTAAAATCCCGCGAAACGAAATATGTGCCCAGATGTTATTTTAATTTTTTTTTTTTACATTTGAGAAGTAATGTTTTAACTTCTGTATTAACTGTGAATTTTTCAACTCTCTAAAGGTATTTGTCGTTTTTGAGTGAAGCATAAAAAGGATTAGCTCATTTAAATATCAAGACAATTGTATGGCTTTATTAAAGGCTTTATTGTTATTATTATTATTATTATTATTATATATATATATTTTAATAT